CCTAACATTAACTATTTCAAGAAAGGGTAACATAAAAATAAACACTAAGAAACAGGAACAGTATCCTTAATAATAAAATAAGAGGAAGCTAGTGATAAAAAGTGCGGAAATTACGATGACCTAAAAAATAATATTGCCAACCAAGTTTGCCGGCATTGCATAGAAAGGGAAAGAGAGAGTGAGATGGCAAAAAAGGACATGGAAAGAGACAGACAGACACCAGAGAGAGAGAGAGAGAACAGGACACGCACTTGCACTCATGCACTTCAGAAATGATGAAAAGGTAAACGTTCAGCACACACACACACATACACACACAACCGTAAATGGCAGAGGATGTGGATTTCGAAAGGATAAGGAGGATATTCAGCTGTGGTGGTGGCTGTGCACGTAAATGCTCGGAAAAACTCAAGGGTTAAGGTAAGTGGTTTCCCGTGGCCCCCTTAACCCAGGCATATGCAAATTGTCGGTACTTTTGTGAGCTTATTAAGTGCTCGAAAGTGCATTAAAAGAAATATATACACACACACGCACACAGCCCGGAAGGAGGGGCAAGGACCTGCTGTCGGAAAAACGCTTTTAAGTCAATCCACTCGGAAATGGGAAACCGGCGACTTCTGCTACCTTTTTCTCGCTCTCATTCCCAGAAAGACAGCAGCAAAATGACCAAATGCACAGGAAATATTAATTGTAGCAGGTAACGGAAATTAAATAAAAACTGTAACTAATAGAAACTAATAGAAAAAGCTGTATACATCTAAAGATACAATTGGCTATTATACTTAAATCGATAAATGAACATCACCTATAATAAAGAATACAACCCAATTTTAATTAAATACAAATTAACTAATTAACTCCCTTTTTTCCACTGTACTTAAACTATTCTCAACTGCGAGACAAACACATGTATTGCTTACAGGATTCCGTCCGTCCTGCTTTTAGTGTAATTTTGTTAATTAAAAGGTGTGACAAACTGTGGGACCAGCGCCCTATAAAAAGTCTCAAATTACGGTAAGCATCCTTCAACAAGTATGTGGCAAGGACAGGACAGGACTCGGACTCATAGGCTGCCTCAGTATCAGAAGCTTGCTCATTTGCATACAGAATCAGTGCGTTAGAGTGTCAGAGGTTGAAAAGGATGGGACACAACGAGGGAATCTCCAAAGACACCACTTGAGGTTGTCACACAAAACCAGACATTGCTGGCAAGTGGCCACTTTGGCGTCTGAAGGACTCTGACGGGTCGGAAGTTCCTCTTGGTTCAAGGCTCACTCAGGGAAATTAACTAAAAGGGTTGCCTATAAATAGAAGCAGTTAGCTTAAGGAAGCAAAGGATAAGAAGAGCGGCTTGAACTTTGAATGCTGTTTGATTTGTTTAAAGCTATACTATTTTTTATATACTTTGTAGTTGACTTACGAGTCCATTGATAAAAATGTTTCAATTGTGATAATAAATATCCTAACGGGAGCTAATTAAACACAATAAAATGTATTAATAGGGAATCCTTAAAGAAATTAGTAGTGTTACCTACGAGAGATGCCTGTAAAAGCTTCCAAAAAGCACACATCCTTTAAAGGACAAAAGCTGGATAGGCAAGCTTTTTACGAATGGGAAAGTATACAAATATCCTGGACACAGGATTTAAAGCTTGTAAGCTTTGATAAAAGCTTTGGTCCTTAAGCTTTCCATGCGAACGGATAAAGGATAACGACGAAGGTCTGTTAACAGAGTTAAAGTTTTACTTCTGTAAATACTATGTTAACATGCATTTTTAAATTCTAATAAGCTGAGAATATGTGGAACTTAAAAGGTTTTTTTTTTTAACCAGGATGGAAAAGACATTAAAAAACATTTAAATATTTTAGATTAATATTTGCCTAAATGAAATGCTAACTATATGCTAAATGAATAACTAACAATTCTGTCAGTATTCAAGGGTATATCCCTTAGTGAAAACATATCACATTTCTAAGATATTTGTACAAATAATAATTAGCTATAAATGCCAAACAGGAAAACCTCTCAAATAGTTTGAACTATATCTCCCCATCCCCACCCAGTTCACATTCTAATATACTTTTCTGAAGTGATACTTCCTTTGCCTAGCCATAAAATTTGATGTCAACAATTTCTCTGGGCCTTAACTGATGTAACAAATTCGTTTAGGCCGCTCATTGTTTGCACACAACAACCCAGCGCCGCAACAGAGGAATACAGAAGGATATGGGGCTGACTCAGCGGCTTTTGAGGCGACGCATCCTGCTTATGCTCGCAGGATGCAGTGCGACAAGTGCCACTTGAGAAAATGCTTTTTTCGAGGAGGCAAGTCAGGGAAGGATATATGTACGCCCGCATATGTGCGGTGGAAAGATGAAGGGGTGGAGGACACTCGTCTGCTAAATGCTGACACCAAAGACCGGCTCAAGGATTCTGCGGGCAAATAGACCAGAGAGCGGAGTACCGGAGTACCGGAGTACCAAACATCCTACTCCCATGGCTAGCCTTTGAATATCCTCGTAATAAAAGTCACTCGAGTGACATTTTTGAGCTTACGGCCATAAAGTAAAAGGCAAACAATGCTCCGAAGGCTGGAGTTCCTTTTCGCAGTCACTGTTTTTTAATCGATTATTGTCGCGATATTGTTTTTCAGCCCCGCATCCTCGGCAGCTCCTGCTCCCGCATAAAAACACACAAATCCTGTCTGAGTGTCGCATTGCAACAACAATAGGAAGAGCGATGCTGCAAAAAAAAAATGCAAATGCAGAAATCCAGTCAGCGACTAACAAAAGATTGTACATTGAACTTGTGCCGTATCAACATCATCACAGTCCGTAAAGGAAGTGTTCGCTGGGGGAATTGAAATGTCCTCGCATGCCCCGTGACATCATAATATTCAATATTGAAAAAAAAATAATAAAATCCCGATACGAGAGGGGTCTGCGATATGGTTACCTTCGTTTATCTGCTGTTATTCACCCCTACACACATTTTATATTCTCGTTGTTTTTGTCACGTTCTGCGATCACCGATAAACCCAGAGAAAAACAGCTTTATGTAGGGGTTCTTACTCGATGCTCCTTCTTATTTTCCAAGCAAGAAATGCACGCGCCGGATGTCGTTAAAATGGCGAACACCACTTCCGGTAGGCGGAGTGGTTGCGGTGGGGCTGCCCCACGCTTTTCCGGTTCGCGGAAATATGTGAACTTACCTGAAAAGCAAACAAAACAGAAAAAATTTCGATTAGTATGTTTTTGCCAGAGGCATATGAATGCTAATTTAGAAGGATAAGGTAAATTGGGTAAAGAGATATATTTCGTATTACATACAAAATTGAATTCAAAGTAGGCTCTGCGATAACTACCTTAATCCCCTCCAAAAGTTATATGTGATGTAATTTCTTTGCCAAGAAAGTGAAAAGTTTTATTTTCTGCATTAGAATTTACACTTATTTAAACAAAATGACACAAACGCAACGAAAGGGAATTGCTTACATTACAAAGTGATTAAAGAGGAAGTACAATTCGAGAACCACAATTATGTGGTTTTTGCTTCAGTTAAACTCCGAACTAACTACTGTTGATATTTTAATACCGGAAAGTTGTCAATAACTAAGCACAAAATATTTCAGATTAATATGTTAAAAACACGATAAAAGTTGTTATTGATAGCAAAACTAATTTCGCAATGAAATATTTCAAGTACATTCTTTTTATTTGTATTTTTAAAGCCTACTTCGAATAAGACTATATTTCACAGCCTTCTTTGAATAAGCCTAAATATATTTTTAGTTCGTTTTATAATGACCTATACCAAAAAAGTTTGGAGTGCTAAATAGCCCAAAAGTTGGTCACTGGCACAGATTTGCCTTCTTTGGGCCCGCATCCAACTCACTTCCAGAACTTTTGTTGACCCAACAGATTAGCAGCTAATGGGAGAGCACTCACACGGTAATTCCGACCAACTCAGGCATTAACAATTGCCGCTTGTTAAGAAGAAATCAATAAAGAAGCTGAAGCTGAAGCTGCCGGGGAGAGAATAAGTGTGAAGTTCTGCATATTAATCAGCCGAAAAAAAGGCAGAGAGAAAGAAATGCAGCCCAAGCTGCGATGATCGAAAATGTGTCAAAGACACTCCCGGCTCACTTCAGTTCAGTTGTCAATCCCATTTCGTTGAGGAAGGAACAGATATTCGAGCAATGCGGATTGCTGTGCACTCGGTTGTCTTAATTCAGGCAGGTGTGACTATCATCATTATCACTGATTGAAACAGCATTCGATTCGCACAGAGCGAAAAATATTTACCCAAATGAGATGGCAGAAATATTATCAGAAAATCTCACAAAGACAGATTGGAAAGTTAATTATAGTTTAAGTGAATAAATTGAAACAACACAGTGGTGAAAGAATATATATGGGAAGAATTTTCGTTAAGAGATTCATAATATGAAAAATGTCAAGTGCTTGTGCTTTCTTCTTTTTTTGTTAAATAGAAGAAAGAAAACTTTCGTAAAAGAATATAATGAATTTCTATTAATCCTCTTGAACTTGCTTTAAAAAATATAATATAATATATATATTATAATATAGTATATAATATAATATAGTATAATATTCTGAATCAGTCACAGGGGTTCTTTAAAATTCGTTAAACAACAATATTTATCATTCAACAGCAAAGTTCCATCGTTTAAAATGTAGTTTTAACTCAGACTTTATTTCTAATTCATTGTTTTCCCAACTTAATGAGCTGTTGATAGTGTTTTATGCTAATTAACAATACAACATAGTGATTCTTTAATATCCACGAGTATTGTCAATAAAAAAGCTTCTCCTCAAATTGAACCGAATTTGTAGTTCATCACGGTAGTGTTTATGGACTCTAGTTTAATATTTAATCAACTAATTTCAAATGAAATCAATAGACTGGTTTTTTTTTTGCCTGTGTGCCCTGCTCATTTGCCGATTGGTCTAGTTGCACAGTTTCGAGCCTAATGCACTTTCATTTCGTTGACACCAGTTTGTTTGTGGCTCGCTGCGGCAAGACTGACAGAGCCTGATTACAGGGCCCGGCTCGGGTTTGGGCTTGAGCTGGGGATCGGGGACAATAATGCCGCTGCAGACAACAATCAATTGCAGGAGGATATGGAGATGAAGGCTGAGGCACTGGCGGTGGCGGGGCCAAGACCCGCAGTGCAAGTAAAAGTGACAAATGAAGTGGAAAGTGCCATCACAATGAGAACGATGCTGATGCGGATGAGGAATCGGGGACATGAGCGGCGGCGGTGGCAGGCCGGTAACTACTTTGACACACAAATGGCACTGCTGTCTGGCCTAATGAGTCCCGGCCAGCTGCCAATATTGGGAGGACCCAACCTAGTCACGGCTGAGAAGCAATTACTCCGCCTGCAGCCGGACTACAAATTGTTATACAATGCCGATCACCATACCTATTTCCACCTGCACACACTCACCCGGGATTCAGTTCCGAAAGAGGCACCACATCGAAGACTTTTCCAGCAGGTCGTGGGCAGCACACTGACCGCTGCCTTTGGCCTGAACGTAATGAACAAGGACCTGGTGGCGGTAACCAGCGAACAGGTGAATCTCTATGATGCCGCCTCTCTGCGTAGGTCGCGTTTCAATCCCTTCAATCCCACACGGTAATTACGGCTTCCCTGCACACAATTCCTCATCATTAACTCCTATGCCTTCTGTCTTCTCTAGCATCCTGATTCATGGTTGGTTGGGGAATGCAAATGCCAATATGTATGCAGCTCTGTTGCCACCGTATTTTGAACTGAATAATGGCAGCTACAATATCTTCACTGTGGACTGGGGTCGAGGTGCCATAGCCGACTACATAACGGCCAGTTACCGAGTGAAACCGGTGGGTCAGGTTCTGGCCAAATTCGTGGACTTCCTGCACCAGGAGGCGGGACTACGGTTCGAGGACCTGCAGTTGGTGGGCTTCAGCATGGGCGCCCATGTTGCGGGGTTGGCGGGAAAGCACCTGCAAACGGGACGGCTTCGAATGATCCGGGCTTTGGATCCGGCTCTGCCCTTCTTTCGATACGCCCAGGAAAAAGAGAGACTTGCACCGGGGGACGCCGACTATGTGGAGGTGTTGCACACGAGTGTGGGCAGCTACGGATTCGACCGGCCCCTGGGCCATGCGGATTTCTATGCCAACTGGGGTAGCCAGCAACCGGGTTGCTTTTGGAATGAATGCAGCCACTGGCGGGCTTTCATCCTCTTCGCCGAGAGTCTTCTTCACCGGGATCGGGAAATGGGTTTCGTATCCCAGGGATGTCAAGCCGACGAATGGCAGCAATTGACCCGATTTCAACGATGCCCCAAGGATACGGGGATCAGCCAGACCATGGGCGGTGATTTAGCCAACGTTTCGGCCGAGTTCTTGGCCCAAAGACAGGGTGTCTATTATTTCAAAACAAGCGAACAGTCACCCTATGTTTTAGCACAAAATGGCAGCGCCAAAGGGTGGCGCAAATAAATAATAAACAGAACCGGAAAACTGGCTACGAGAACGTAATGAGCAAGTACAGTTCGCGTTTTTATTTCTAATTAGTAAGTGCATGTTGCACTACACACACACACTCGCAAACACACTCACACACCTGTGTGTGCCGATGCTTGTGTGTGGTGCTGTTCCATTTCTAAAAGCCGGCTGGCAAAATTAAAAAATGCTGCCATGTGTAAAATGCTTTTCATGCCAGTCACAGGCAGCAAAAATAGCAAACAAAAAAGGAGCAAAAAAATTTATGAAAACCTGCAGCCAGGACATAGGTACATACAAAAGCCGAGTGTAGTTCAGGATGAAAAATCAAGTAGAACTAGATTTGGCCACAATGCACATAAAGCCAAATACTAATACGAGCTAACGAGATTGGTTCAAGGGAAAAAAAGAGTATTTATTGCTATTAAATAATGAAATATAATTTGATTAATTATCCTATTGCACTCTTATTAATAATATTTAACTACAAATGACTCTCTTTATTAAAGATTTCCTATCCTTGAGTCAAGCCTAAGTTTCAAAGTTGCTCCATTTATAACAGAAAAACCTAGATAAAGTTTCTCTTCTCCCGAGTCTCATTTAAAATTTTAGCCTGCCATTCGTGTATCATAAATTATACAAAAAAAAAGAAAAAAACTTGGCTAAGGTCGCACCAGCTCAAGCTTTAATTGGCTAAAACAGCAGCGAAACTCCCACTGAAGATAAAGCATACTTTGGGGCATTGAGACCTTGGAGCTGGCCAAAATGTCGCACGGCTGCCGCTAATGTGATTTTTACGCATCATTTGAGTGAACAAGCAGCAATTGGCCAAAGGGCTCAGCAACCAAGGGGAAAAAACAATAAAAAACCAACATGAAAACTTGGCAGCTGCGGATGGATGCCATAGGAAATTACGTGAACAAATATTGGCAAAAGCAAAACAAATATTGCGCACAGCATACCCTTGAGTTGGTAAGAAAGAAACACAAGAACAACATATATTTAGAACGTTTTTTAATATGCTCAAGTTTGTACATTTGAATTCATTAATAGAACGCAGCATGTTGATTTAGGAAAATTCATATAAAATTATTTTTTTCTTTGAAAACATTTTAATATATAATTTTATATACCCTTGCAGGGTATTATAATCAGAAGCTTGTAAAGCAGTGAAGAAGTCATTTCCGACCCTATAAATCATATATATTCTTGATCAGCATTAACAAGCGAATCGTTCTAGCTATATCCGGCAGAAAAACAAAATTTTCAAAAAATTTTAAATTTAAAAAAAAAGGAAAGGTACCTCGTTAAAATTGTCAAAAATTTGAATAACCTTAAATTTTAATTTGAGTATGCAGATTTATAAACCTTATAAAAACTAACATAGAAATTTTTCCCAATTAAAATTAACACATTTTTGGCTTAGTTTTTTAAACTCTGATTCTTGTATCTTGTATCATTTCTTCACCTTGACTTGATAACATTTTAAGATATATTTAAAATATGAAATGGGTTATTTTATCTCCTTACCATAACATGGTCTCTAAGTAATTCATATTCACAATGTGTTATTTAATCGAATTTAATAAAGATTCACTGATCTGAATATTTTTATTCCGTTTCACTTGCAACACAAACCGAATTAGTTATTTGCAATAATTCTCCTCTCACTGACAGCAACAGAAATTGAATTAGTCTCAGAGACAGACCAAGAAATTCAGTTTCAGACTTGCGAATTAAATTCTTTTCCTTGGTTAACTTGTCTGATAATTTCCTTGTCGCTTCACCAAAAAAGAATCGAGCGCGAAAAGGCGAATCGAATAAAGCCCGTCGACTGTTGCCAGTTGTGCACTGCAAAGCAAACTGAAAATGTTCTCAGCCAAATGGAAAGACTGTAAAAAAAACAAAACAAACAGCAAAAAAAAAGAATGCAAAAAAGATGGCTAATTTGTGTCGCGTCTTCCAGCGAAGGGGTGAAGCATCGACGGGGGGCGGAGGTGGCTCTGGGAAGCCTATGAAATGTGGCCCGCACTTGAGCCAAAGAGTTGACGCACAAACTGCAAAACTGAACCAAGCACCGAGCATTGAGCACTGAGCAGTGAGCACTGAGAACTGAGAACTAAGGACACAGAGCTGGCTGAAAAGCTGAAAAACCGAACAGAAAACTGAGCTGAGCCCTTAGACAATGCATTCCTAATTCCAGTCGAGGGGGTTGCAGAATCGGTTAGAGGTTGGGGAAGAGTCCCAACCAAACTACACACGAAGAAAATATATAAATTCCAAACTAACTATAAACATATTCTAGATTCAATTTGGAGTATTTTGTTATAGCTCTTGAATGTTCAAATTATATATTTCTTTCTGTAAACAAAGGTTTCAGATTCACTGTGTAGAAAAGAGTTTTGCCGGCTTGTCAGCTGCCATTTCATGGCCTGGCAGCACATCCAGACAAAAAGCTAACCACACCCCAGGCCCAGTCCACGTCCTGGGAAGCAGTCATAAAGTGTCGCGTTCCGTGCTTCCGCTCCTGCTGACGCCTTCCTTCCGCTCGCTTCTCACCTTTGCCTGTCCGCCCTGTTACCTGATGCCCACCCCTAACCCACAAAGGCTTCCGGCGCACGCACACGAACGGAGGACGGAGGACTAAGGACGAAGGACGTAGTTTAAGTTTGTCTCGCGCTGAAAGCGCATATTACTTTGGCCACAAGCGTCTCTCCTTGCAGTAATAAGCAAACGGATTAGCCAGCTATTCATCCGCTCATCCCTGGGAGCTAGGAATCTGTCTTTGCCGAAGCCCCAGTCTCTATTGGCAGTTGGGAACCCAAAAGCTGGAGCCAAAGATGAAGTGAAAAATCTGCCTTCAGGCAAAACTACAAAATCTTTGTACGGAAAGTGTAAAGATTTCGGTTAACTGCACTGAAAATATATTATGGAATGATAGATAGTTCAGGGACTATAAATAAATTAGGTAATTTATGGGTATAATTTGATCAGTGCAATTAATTAAAATTCAATAATGTTTACAAGTGTAATAAAAAGTTTTCTTGATTTTGAGGAAATTATGTGAAGCAAGTGTGTAACAAAATATTAAATTATGTTTAGGAATATATTTATAATCCTACATAAATATTTAAATAGATTTTTAATGCAATTTATTTCCTATTGTAGCTGCTATTAAAGTGGAACCTCTGCGTGAAGAAGGGCAACCAATGTTTGTGGCAAAGATTGTGGCAAAAAACACATAACAAAAGAAAAAACGAGAAGAAAAAACTAACTTCGGAAAGCCGAAATTTGTTTACCCTTGCAAATTCCTTGCTAATGATCATGAAAATCAACATAACAAAGCCAAAAATGCATTAAATTCAATTCGGAAAGCCTTCCAATGCTAGTTTTTATAAGCTTAAAAAATCTGCATAATCAATTTAAAATGACAAAAAATTGAAATTTTTGTCAAATTTTGAAAATTTTAATGATGTAAATCTTTATAAAATTTCAAAAATTTATTTCTTTACCTGACATGGCTGGATCGATTCGGTTATTAATGCTGATCAAGAATATATATGATTTATATGGTCGAAAATGTCTTTCACTGCGTTTCAAGCTTTTGACTGAAATTGTAGTACCCTGTAAGGGTATAAAAAATTCCACCCTGTGAGTGCAGAAAGATGACCAACAACGGCGACAGCAGGTGGCGACGGCCTTGATGGGTGTCGCCTGGTGAGAGTTACATAGTGGGCGGCGGGTTGTCAACACACACACACAGCTGGAGGTCCTTGGTAAGGTGACCAATGGAACGCTTATTTAATTGAAAGGTCAGTCTGCAGCAGGATACAGTTGCCTAAATCGGTTGGGTTGGAAATGGAGCCAACACGGCGACAACATTGAATGGAACAAAAGGTTGATTAAAGCCAACGCTCAAAGGGAGGGCAAAACACGATGGCGGGGATTAGTTGCTTGAAAGGATTTCAATGGAAGTGGAAATAGTTCAAGGGACAGACAGCATTCAATTGAGGAGAGAATCGGTCCTGGCCAACTCAAGCAAGTCGAACAAAGGCATACATAACCAGAAGTAATGGTCTCCCAGTAAATGAAAAGAAAATAGTGGCCATAAAAGGGGATTTACAGCACAGCTAATTCTGCGGATATCCTTTTCAATGGATGTCAGACTAGGAAAGTAGCTATAATTAGGCCAGTTCTTCAATATAAAGGACAAACTGAAGTATCAACCAAGATGGATTTCATTCAGGTTCAAGAAAAGTGTTCTTCTTGAATGAAAACTATTTCAATTGGTTTATATTTATAGCTAGGTTTAGTATAAGAACCCAACCAATTTGTTTTTTATAAATCTCTATTAAATTCACAGAAAACCTCAAACCACTCGACCCAAAAGTTGAGGTAACTATCGTTATCCCAAGTGCCGAGTTACAATTACATCATTTTACAGACAATACCGAATCGAACAAGGACTCTAGGGCGGCTTTCGTGGGGCAGGAGATGGTGGATCTGCACTTAAATCCGAAACTCACTCAAACAATTAGCTCAAAAGGTGAGGGCCACAGAGGCGACCGGGGCCAAGGGATCTCTGAGTCACGGCGGCGCGGCATCGTCAACTGAAGCCCTATGAAAAAGTTTCAGTTTTTGCGCAAACAAATTGGATTATTCGATTACGTGTTTGTACAAGCGCATTCTGGGACAGGGGGGTGCAGAGTACAAAGCATAGAGCACAGGTGAATGGGTGGGCAGGTGGCAGGGAAACCAGGTGAGTTGCAGGTGGGGTGGTGAACTGAGCTCGGCTTGTAAAGCGGCCAAGGGAACAAGTTTTTAAGGGCACCATTGGGGTTTTTGGTTTTCTTTTTTTTCATAGGGGTTCTCTGCTGCAGTTCTTCTTGTTTGATTTTGATTTATTTACCATTTGTTTGCCAATTGGCAAATGTTTGCCAATCCATAGAGATTGGAATTGTAATCCATAATGGATATATACTCCATCTGCATTCAAA